GCCCCCCGGCGGCCTGCCCCCCTGCTTCCACAGCCAGGACACTGCCCGAAACAGCCTGGAGCCCCACACTGACCATTCCCGCGGCGAAGTGCGGCACTTGGAAGCTGCTGTTGCTCCCAGAGCTGCCCTAAGAGCTTAGCGCAAAGCCCCGCAGAGCGCCGACCTGGTGCCCCATGCTACTCCACAACGAGCGTGCGAGGCCACACTGCGCAGTGAGGCCTGGTGGGCCGGAGCCGCAGCCCAGGCGGGTGGGAGGCCGCGTCCCCGCAGGGCTCCATTCCCCAGCACGGTCACTATGGCTGCACCAACGCTGAGAGGCTGGTGCCTCAGGGCTCCTTCCACTGAGGGGCGTCCACCAGGACCACAGCAGCCGCCTACTAGCAGCCATAGCCAAAACTAGAACAGAAACCAGTCAAACGTTCAATTTCCAACCTACCGGCATTGCCTGTGAGAAACGCTTTATTATGATGCTGTCAGCCTTAACCTTCGCCTCAGCAAACCTCGAGAGGCAGCAGCTACTGCTTCTACAGACCTTGCTGGGAGAGGAAGGATCCCCTTTCCCCTCAACTTATAGCTGCGAGGAGGGGGTGTCGCCAGCCCAGCTGGCCCCGCTCTGCTGCCCCAGCACAGGGAGTCCTGAGCAGGGAGGTCCAAGGCTGGTTTGTGCCCAAGCTATTGTAGGAGCAAAAAGGCCTCCTATGGAGACGAGCAAGAAGTGACTTTTTGTTCCCCTGTTGCTCAACGCGGGGCGGTCGGAGTGCTGCTGCAGGGCTGCTCACCGCAGGTGCTTCCCAGCAGCGTAGGCACTTCCCGGCGGGTGCGGGGCAGGCAGCAGCTGCGCCCGGCTGCGGCCACCCCTGTGCGAAAAGCGAGGCCTGGGGAACTCTGAGATCCCTGAAGTTCAGGCTTAGGAGTAGATAGTTAATTTCTGAAGGTAGTGGTAGATAGCCTGAGACAGAAAAGTTTATTTTGCGCTTTTTTCCGATTATTCGTAGCAAATGAATATTTTTTATCCTTGGTAGCAGGTAGCTATTTGTGATAACGCGGCAGGCTGCGTAACGCGATCAAGCTCTTCCTTTTCCAGCACGGCGCGCGGGGACAGCACGGAGGCGTCTCAGGAAGGCGCCGCCGCC